GTGTATGCTTGCGAAAAGATAATTATTTCTTCCTTTATAAAAAAAATTAATTTAAAACGCCCTTTTTACAAATATTTGTTGAATGTCCGAGTTTTGTGCTTCCACTCGAGTGATGGAGACTATGAAGGATGATGTGTTGGGTATAGAGAGTTATGTAATTTGTTTTCTGCAGGTTAAATGCTAATTTATTTCTGTGAACCTAAATTTTAGAAAACATTTTGGCTTTTTTATTGTACATTTTTTCGGGAAAATGTTTGCAAAGTCTGGGTCATGCAAAGAATTGAGGTCTTGGAGTTCAAATAAGCAAAAGAAAAGATAATTATATGTGGACATGAATTAATAATTTGTAAAATCCTAGGCATTAGTTTTGGCTGATTTAATTAAATCACTAGTTTTGAGGTTATGTTGAGAGTAATTAAATTACCGTGCATGTTTCTTTTTCTCCGGATGTACACAAGGATTTAAGGAGTCCTGTAAAGCATATGAATGAAGCAAAGAGAATTGTAGATGGTGGAGTGGAACTTCTGGACTCCAATTTAACTAGATTCGCAGAAATTGCGAACCCCAGTTATGACGTCATCATAAAGGACAAGGACAAACCTCAAGAACGAAGGCAGGGCCTAGGCGTTGCGCGTAAGCGGGCTCGGTTTTCTTTGAAACCTAGTGCTAGGTTGAGACTAAAGCTCATCAACTTATTTTTTTACTCCTGTACAATGCACATTTAGAGATTTATTCCTAAATTATTAATAATGTTTTGCATGTTAACAGTCAGCCTTCTGTGAATTTGGAATCAACTTTGAACATTGACCGGTTGCAAGATCCTGATGAATTTTTTGATGCTTATGAGAAGCTTGAATGTAATTTCCATCATATTTCTCCCAGTCAGTTATTATGATGCATTTGTTTTGGAATAACAACCTCATACTTACTGCTTTTGCAGATGCCAAAAAAGAAATACAAAGACAGCAGGGTGGCATTATAAACAATTTGAATGAATACAAAACATCAACTAATACACGTCATCGCAGACCAGGAATTTTGGGGTATAGTTAGTCATATTGATTAATGGGTGTTCTGAAATTTACTTTATAGCAAGTCATCTTGGATTTGGTTTTTTCTATTGCATGCTATAAGCTAGTTATTTTTCATAACAGGAAATCATATAGTTATAAGCATCGCTACTCATCAGTGCCTTGTGAAAACGATGAGATATTAACGTCTTCCCAAGAAACAATGGATATGGATGTTCTGGATGCTCCTAATCATGACTTCCAACAAAAGATGAACAATTCTGATCCTATTCAGGATGTTGATTTACAGGAAGTTGAATTGGCTGGTGAGTGGATCATCTCGATATGATAACATGTTCAATGTCCATGTCCATGTCCATGTCAAAGAACTTCTATTAGTTTGTTTTCAATTGCCATAAGGATTTATGCTTGTCTAGTTGGCAAATGGATTTTCTTCTCACATTAGCATAATGTTTAATTCAATTTAACAGGATCAATATCCAAGACAGGGATTAAAGTGAATTGTGTTTTAGATGAATTGCTATCTTGTAATGATGAAGATTTAGATGGGGATGGGGCCTTGAATATCTTGCAGGAGATGTTTCAGATCAAACCACTTGACCTGGATGGCCTATGCGCACCCAAACATTATGATGTCAGAAGGACTGATTTTATGGCCTTGAAAGAAAGTTTGTCAAAACCTCATAAGACTTCGCAGGTCACAAATAGTTTGCTGAGAAGTGTTAGTGGTGAACCACCTATTGAACGTGGACAGGTGGCACAAAATGGAACCAATTCTGTAGCTTCGCCAACCCCTCCAAGAAGTCCATTTGCTTCTCTATCTTTGTTGAAGAAGCGAATTTTGCAATCTAATCCCCTGAGAGACCCATTTACTCCTCTTAGTGTTGATCTGTCACCAACCCAAAATGCTTACCCCATTCAGCCTATCAACAAGCTACATGATCAAGTTGATGCACGGAAGGAATCAAGTACGGGTAGCAAGAAGAAAGCGCGAGTAGAGGTTGAAATTATGGAACCTACAGTTAAAATGAATATAGAGAAGGTGAACACAGGAAGTTCGAACTGTCTCCCTGACCAGTTTGTGGATGAGAATGCAAATGGACAAAGTGCAGAATCTGAAATTACAGAACCTACAATTAATATGGATACACAGAAGTTGAAAACATTAAGTTCAGATTGTCTAGACCAGTTTGTGGATGACAATGCTTGCAGACGAAGTGCAAAATCTTCAATTGCAGAACCTACAATTAATTTTGATACATCGAAGGTGAAAACAGGAAGTTCGGATTGTCTGCCTGACCAGTTTGTGTATGAGAATGCAAGCAGAGAAAGTGCAAAAGCTGATATTTGCCCAATCATAGGACTACATTACAACATTGAGGAAGAAACAATTGGTGAAAACTTAAATGGTGGTCAGAATCTTTTTGGTATGGTTGTTGCTTTACCTTGGCTTGCCATCTTCTGTGGATATAGTTTGACATTGTGAACCATGAACTGCTAGCACTGTTCCTATGTGAGTTAGTTATTATGTTGTTTTGGTGATGTGTTCTTGTGTGATTGGACCTCGAAATCTTTGCTTTGAATCACATTGGTGTTTGAGTTGGCGTTCAAGCAAACTGTCTTGAATTGCTTATAATCATCTGTCGTTGCAACAGTAGACAATGTGCTCTCAATTCAAGATTCAGCTCAGTAAGCCTTATTTCATCCATCCCTTCTGTTACAGTTTCTTCGTTATTTAGCCTTAAAATGATGCATTAGATGGTAATGCACACAGCCAATATAAAATTTGAGGCTTTTGAAGATGATAGTGAACTTTGAGTGAACTAATTTCAGCTAAAGTTACGGATGTTTCCTGTCTAAGACAATTGACTTGATGTTTACTAGATTTATAGCAGGTTATGTTATGAAGTTTTGAGCGTCGAACTTCAATCTGTGAGCATTACAATTATCTTCTGTAATGTTTTAAGTGCCACTTGCTTCTCAACTTTGATTTGGTATGATATTGTCAGTAACCGTGTTGTTACATGATGAATGATTGTGTCAATGGCTCCCTATGGTTTGATGCTTGTGCAATAATAATGAATCACCTTGATTCGGCTTCTTGTTGGAAGAAACCCTCCCCTTCAATTGGTATTTTTTTTGGAAAGTAAGCAAAAATGGGTAAAGAAATCCAGTATAAGATTCATTTAAATTGCTTTATGTGATGTGATATCTATAGTCTTGACGCAACAAATAGGAGATAACTTCCCTTTTTTGTGTAATTTTTTTTTTCACTATGAGTAGGATATATTGAAGACGTATAAATATTCAATATATTTTTTGTGATGTTCCACCTAACAGACCAATCAAGTTGTTTTGCACTTGAAGATGATGCGGTAAAGGCCCCATCCAGGAGTCAGCAGATTGATCAAAACGAAGAGCCTGAGGTGTCTACTATTTCTTCTACTTCATTCTCATTGATTTGTGCTGCTTGGACTTGAAGACAAAGCTTCTTATCAATGTCTGTAGTTATTGATCTTAATAATTCACAAGGACTTATAATCATGTTGATACTTGTGTTTACGAGTGTATTTAAATAATACTCTGGAACTGTTCGAATGAAGAGAATTGAGAACCATGAAAGGCGATAAATGTTGTAGTTTACAGAACTTCTCCGTTCCTAGATACAAGTTCAAACACACAAATGGAAAAGGGCTTATTTGGGATAATTTGTTGATTTTACTTCGTGAATTAATAACTGGCTTTTCACCCCTTCATTTTCTTAATACGAGTTTTGCTTTTACGGGTAAAAGGAATGGGTTTTGTTGTAAGAGACTAAATAGCTGCTGTATTTTGGAATTATCTTTCAAGTTGTTTTCATTCAACAACATTGTCAATCATATTAGAGTGCAAGGACTTAATCAATTCACAAGCCATTATGGACAAATCACACTTCCGCAAATTTCAGATAAATCAAGACAAGCTACAGAAAGCAAAACGAGAAGCAGGTGAAAAACGCCTTAGAAAATCACATCCACTGAGGAAAAGTCTTGCAGGTATGTATTGTGCATCTACTGGCAGGACCCTTTTCTTTCTTGCTTGAGATTTGAGTAATAATACTCTTGGTGACCCTGCAGAATCTGGTACATCATTTGAAAATGGAGTAAGAAGAAGCAAAAGAATCAGAATGAGGCCTCTGGAATACTGGAAAGGAGAGAGATTCTTATATGGACGACTGGACGAGAGTGAGTATCACATGATGATTCAAATATTTAAATATTACACCAATATATATTTTAATCTCTTCGTATAGTTTTTGTTGTCTGGCTTGAGCATTGTAATTTTTCGCCGTCCAATAGTTTTGAGTGTGAAAATGAAAATTTGCATCATGTACTCAATTACCATCTAATAGGTGCCAATTCAAATGTGGATATTTAATTCCATGTAGAGGGAGTGATATGAAATGGTTGGAACTTAGAAAATCCACACCTGCCATTTCTATTGTGAGCAGCACCAAGGCTTTTTCTGAAATCCTGGATGAAGGTTGCCTGCCCAGACTGAATTTTTTAATTTCATTTGTTGCATTTATTAATAAATATGTTCTATCATGTAAACCTCATGCACATATACCGTATAGGAATTTGCACTATTTTACCTTGTAAAATTGATGTTATAACATAACTGCACGGAAGTACCTGTTTAAAATATATGGCGTGCATGAAAAATGTAGTAATGGAGATGTGGCAGAACAGTGCATAATATGCTTCATATCTTCCATTTGTTTTGTTGCATTTTTGTTTTTTTTTGTTTTTTAATAAATGCTGTCTGACTGCCCAGTCACACGGATCAATGGGCCAAATTATTGTCTGGGCTTGCCTAGGTTTTTGACGACTGCGATTCCTGCATGCCACCTTTCTCCCATTCTGCAGTGAAGCGCATTGGTTACATATTTGCACAGTATATTGAACGTGCATTAGTTTCCTAGTTATTAATCAATATTCTCCGAAAATAGAGATTGCTATTTCAGTATGTTTACTTCCCATCACCCTAATATAATTCCGCATGGTCACTTTTCTATTCACACTCTTAACTTCATCAAGTGGCTAAAGTACACAGCCCGGCTGGGAAGGTTGTAAACACCATTGTACTGAAGTAGTTCTTTCTTCGATTTATGTCTTCAAATCTATTCATCTGAGGTTAATGTTGTCATGTGGCTATATATCTCTTTCCGATTTAATAATTAACCGGTATTGTTCTCCTATTGTAGGCCTGAAGCTCATAGGGGTGAAGTATCTCTCTCCCGGGAAAGGTGATGGCATGCTGAAAGTGAAGCGGTATGTCTCGCCTCGATACAAGGAGCTTCTTGAACATTGAATCTACGTATAGTAACCGGAGACGATTTTCTGATTTAAAAAGTTATATTTTTAGCATTATGTCCAAACACGTTATCCAGTTGCATTTTGGTAAATGGAGAATGTTACACGTGCCTTGGTCATACTTATAGATACTGTCATTAGTAATCTGATTTCAGATTGGCAGTAAGATTAACTGTATAAATTAGAGATGTTGATTGATTAATGGTTTATGTCCGAAAGTTGGCGGTACGTACCTTTAAACTAAGGGTAAGAGAAAAAGACGCAAAGCGACGAAACCGTAAATTACTTATGACCAAGACAAGTTATTTTCAAAAGGATAAATCTATATGAACATAATTATTGTACATAATGGATTATGTAAGCAGGTGGAAGAAATTTAGCCATGGATGTGAAGTGTGAAAAAGTCAAAAATTGTATACTATCGATGAATGCGTTCCACATGTCAATTATGTAATGTATTATGTAATGATTATGTACTTGTAGCATGATCCTGATCGCAGCAAGCTCCATAGAGTTGCTAAATTGGTAATGTTGTGGCCTGAATACATGAAAAAGCTAATAATAAGCTGGCTACAGGCTTATAATTTCCTCGAGCATGTTTATTAAAAAAAAGTAATATTTTTAAAATAACTCTTTAATTTTAAGTAAATATAGATATTTTCCCTTTTTATTACTTTAACATGAAAAAAGAAACTTGGAAAGTAAACTCCTTAAGCTTAGCAAACATTGTTTAGCTCCGAATAATTATGTTGAAAACCATTGAAGAACAAAAAAAAAGCAGAATAGCCATCATCAATGATCAATAGAAATGCTGGGAAAATAGCACTGTTTTCATTTTTAACCCAAATGCACTCTTTCTGTAAACAAATACACAAGCTCGTTTTATTCTAGCTCAAAAAAAGAGAGAGAGAGAGAGTCCAGACATTGCAAGTTCTCCAGAAACATCAAACGAGAATACAGATCAATAAACCCCAACAAAATGCTACTACGATTTAGGGGGAAAACTAAAACCTTAATTTGACAAAGCAGATGACTGCTGCACAATATTTCTAGTCATCTCCATTTTATTGATCTCCATAGAAGCCTGATGATCATTGCCACAAGCCTCTTGAAATAACTAGTGCACAAGAACCTGCATTTCGAATAATAATAATAGAAGGCCATCCATTTGCTCGACTTGAAATCTTGAGAACAAGCAAAAAGATTGTCCAGTTTTCTGATGCTCTTACAACATATAAGAACAAGGAGATGCCACGCATCAAGCTGCAGTGTTCTTTAAGCTAAGCAGCATGATCAGGCATTTCACATATACCTGACCAGCAGAAACAGAGATTAGAGAATGCTGAATACACACACACACATTAAAATATATGATAATTGGATCATAACATAAACAAAAACCAAAAAAGAAAAACAATAATAGCTAGAGAATTTAGATTAATCACGTTTCCTTTTTACTTGTAGGAGGGATTCGATAGTATTAGACCGTAATAAAAACTATTCATTAGCTAAAATATTTTTCATTATACTATTAAACCCTGTTTGATTTTTGGTAGATTTGACAAAAGTTGATGAAATGGGTGGTTGAAAAGTTGTGGTTTCTATGAAATGTGGGGTTGAAAATGAGTTTAGGAAAAAACGAATTTTAAAAAATAGGGGCCAAACAGGAGCTAAGTCTAATGTACCAAACATGTACTGTTTTCAGGACAAACCGTGTAGATAAGCAAATTTGAAGAGCATTTCAAGTTTTGAATATTTTTTCCACTTGTTCCTCAACCCAACCAAAATGAGTTCCATTTTAGAAATTTCTGCTCCAGTGATTATGATAATGAGATAATTTCTGCTGCAGTTGATGTTCATAACTCCCCTCCCCTATGATGCAATAATACAAGAAATGAAGAATCTGAAATCATTGAATTGAAGGGGATTGTCTGTTAGAAAGCAAGTATACAACACCCCACAACTTCACAACCAAGCCAAAAGATAGAACCATGTACCTAAATTATCCCAGATTATGTGGCAGCCCAAAGCTCTCCAAATTAAGAACAGGAGAACACAAAGGGCCCAAAGGCTTGCAGCACCAAAAGAACAACTCAGAAACTCCACAATACCCAACAGACGGCAGATATTTTGACTGCAAAAAGTTGAATTAATCTGCACAATGAAACTGGTTCCACATATCTACTTACTTCACTGGTCAAATTTCATCTCCGTATATCTGCAGTGTATTTTAGAAAAGTCAATACATATCTTGAGGTTAACACAATTCATATTGCATTGAAAAGAAGTGCTGGGGGAAGGAAGACTCCACATCCAGATAGCACTTTTCAGCATAGAAAAGGAATGTCAACTTGCCTGCGAGGATTCTTTTGCTTCTGCCCAAAGTCATCGTTTGCCACCTCTGCCAGGGAAAATGAAAAAAGGATTTAGGCAGCTACATAAAGGAAGAGAAAAGTGCACGAAATTACAATTCATTTTATCTTACCAGGCCTCTGTGTGGGGTTCCAGTCATTACTGTCTTTAATTGTACTGGTTTCTTTGCTGCAACCAAAATAAAAGTCTAAATATTTGTTCTATAAACTTGGATGTCAAATCCATTCACCAAAAACAGTTGTGGATAAAAAAGCAAAAAATGCAGGCAATAAAGAGAACAAAACCAGACGCGCAACAGCTAAGACAAGGAAAAGTACATCGAGTACTATCCAATTTGATACTGAAGCCCCCAGAGTAAGGTAATGCAAGCAGAGAGGAAAAGACCATTGATATTCAAGAAAGAACTACCTTACCCACCTGGAAGTGGACACTGCAGAAGATGTCTGTCCTGATGGGCAAGTATGATATGAACCATCTACAGATAAATATGGAGAATATGTTGCCCCCATTGCCCCAGCGGCACCAGCTAAAACTGGTAGCCTGAATGTCATAAAAATAATTAAAATCATTAAAAATTGTCAACAGTAGACAAAGGTAATTTATAATTTGGCGTACTAAAATATACAGCACAATTTGGGGGCTTCATGAGAGTCAAAAAAATCAAATCATAATAACGAAAGGTTCAATTATGTTGAGACAACCTAATCAGTGAATAAAAATGCAAGAGAAGCGCTTGCACAGAAGTAGATAGATAACGGGTGTGGAGGGTTTTGTACACGTCTGTGTTGGAAAATTTAGAGCCCGTTTGACAACCATTATTGTAGAAAAAGAGTTTTGAATAGTGGTTTTTAGGAGATTGTGTAATTAAAAAGTAAGGAAAAGTTTTTGATATACATATAGAATATTTTATCGTGTGAACGTGTGGTTGAAAATGATCCTGTAGCAAACCATAAAATAAAGTAATGAATGTCAAACAGGTACTTCATAGTTACCAAGTCATTTCAGAATTTCCAAGTTGAGGTTGAGCAACATATCCAGGGTAGGCCATGCCAACAGCAGGAACTCCAACGCCACCACCAGGATGCTGGCCTCCGAATTGCATGACTTTATTCCACCAAACAGGAGTTACATGAAGTTAGCAATCAAGCAAAGGAACACAAAAATACAGGATGGACCAAAATAATAATTCCAACATTTTGTCTTTATACTTCTTATTTCCATAGAACGCAGTAAGTAAAATTTGAAGGAATAGCAGAGAATATGTATAACATAAAGCACTACTTCCATAATTCTTCACAAAATACCCTTAACACAGTAATGGCATGGAAAGTACACATGTGCATATTTACGTCAGTGCATTATATACACCACACTTCCTGTGAGAAATACACAATGACTGTACCAAAGTTGCAATGCTAATTCTTATGCAAGTTCATCCAAAAAAAGCCATTTGAATGAATAAATCAATTCAAAGAACTGTGTTCTAGATTAACTTAAAGAAAATTCCTTGTCCCTTTCTGACAGCTAGTTGTACCTGGCAAGAAAGCTGGGAAGTTTTGATCACCATGAACACTGCCCATATTTCCAGATGCCCCCATAACCTGAACACCATCATATAGAAAGGAGCCCCTTCCACCGCCTTTAACACTTCCTTTCCCTTTAGCAATCAAAGCAGTCTTTGATTTACTAGAGTCTGAGAGAAATTCCATTTCTCCAGTTTCAAATGAATTCGCAGGCACAGCTGTTTTAGGTGGAGAAGAAGCTTGTGATCCACTGGTGAGAGGCTGCAGAAACTGCTGACCAGAAGCTTGTGCAGAAGATAGACCTCGACTTTGACCAGGATTCTTCTGAGCCGTTTGTAGCAGGGTTGCTGGGGGAACCCTGTTGAACTGATTTTTAGAAAGTGGTTCATAAGCCATTTTTGTTAAGGAGGTCATTCCTCTCCCTTGACTCCTCGACTGCTTAGGTTGAGTAGTATTAAATGATGATGAACAAGATGGCAGCATTTGCAGAGCGGATAAAGCATTATCAGCAGATACTGTATCATCAATATAAAGTGTATCCATGCCAATGGAGTCCACTATATTCTTTCCACGCAACATTTCAGAGGATTGAGCAAAAGTAAAACTCTTATCAGCAATAGATGGCTGAATATTTTGATTACTTGTGCTAGCTTGTACATCCCTCTTATGCGGCAAAGAAGTATCTTCCGTGGAAGAACCAGAAGGATAAAATGGAGGAGAGGCAGTGCTCAAATTAGATGCAAACATTTGTTTCCTATGAGGGAATGCATCAGATTCTACACTTGGTATGAGAGCTCTTGTTCTCCCAGAATTAACACGTGAAGGCTTTTCAACTGATTTCACAGATCTAAAATAATGCAGAAGCAATGATAAATAATTTGAAGAACATAGTTTCAAAAAAAAATTGCATAGGAACGGATGATTTTACTCACTGTTTGTTTCGTGAGAGAGGCACCTCATTGCTGTTCTTGAAAGATGGCTGATACCTTCTAGGTCCTTGTCCACGGAAACCCTTCACTGCAATGTTCTGATTGTTATCACTATTCTGATTGTTATTATTGCTGTAAACTCTGGGCCTATTTTCTCGGGCATATCCACGGTCTGAGCCTCTGTTTCTTCCGCGACCTCGAGAACGACCCCCGGAAGTCTTCCTATGCTGGAAAAATTATACACATAATTAGCAGGCCAGAAGATCACTAAAATTGTGCAGAAAAATATATCCACAAGTAAAAATCTGGTAGTAAATCATAGCAAATCAGTGGGATTGTTCACCTCTTCATAATGCCATTCATGTGTAGTCAGTTCTTCAAACTTATCGTGCCCCCATTTCCTCTCATCTCTAGAATCCCATAACTTCCTTCCACCAAGAGTTCGCCTAAGTGCAAGAAAAATTCAAAATCAATATGATATTTGTTATATTGAAAAGCCATAAAAAAATAAATAACATGGTTAGATAAGAACACGATTCCCAAAAAGTAACACAACTTGAATTTTAAATGATCAACTTACAAGGTGGGGGTTTGCATCATAGTAGAACATCCTACTTCACTATCTATATGAAATATGCGCGTACGTATTCCAAATTTTCAACCCATTCACTAAGAACAGCAGGAAGCAATCAAAAGAAAAGAGCCAAAAAAAGGGGAATGAAGTGCTATATAATGAACTCCATCCATTTTAGCTTTTATGTCTTAATGTATCCCCAGAGATATAATCACTTTATCTTACAATGACGTTGCTTGTTAGAATCCTGGAGATATTAAACACAAAACCACCAAATTTTGGGCATGTAAGTTGCGACAGGGCTGCCTTAAGATTACACACATTCTATCCTTTCCTTGATAGCCAGAAGAATGATATACTACTAAAAGCACCAAAATGGAGATTATAGAAGGCATATAGGAGTTTGCAGACCAAAGATACTTAAGGTTAAACCAAAGGCAATTGTCTGTTCTTTGAATGTTTCAATGATGTGGATTTGGTTGTTTTATCTCTCGACTAAGGTCCTTTTGCTTGTGAATTTGCCTTCAAGCCCCTTTCTTCTCCGATTGCACTTGTGCTTGGCTTCCAAGCCTTTTACTCAGTTTTATTTAAGGTTTCTGTTTAGCTGTTGACATCTTAGGACCTTTTTCCAGCCTGTTGGATTGGTAAAGATGTCCTTTTACTACACACCATTATTTGTAGTTGAGTTACACAAACAATAACAACTCTTAACTTCCCCTAACCATATGAGATAGCCTATAATTCCAATTTAAAAGACTCTATTATATCTATTTTCAGTTAAAAGAACTTTGAACCAATGTGAATACCTGTGTCGTCCACCGACATTCTCCCGAAACCTATCATCGTGCATGTAAAATGCGCCCGCCATGGGCACTGCATATGGCTCGAGATCCTTCTTCTGCTCCTCCTGCTGACCATCATCAATACGGCTATCATCATTAAGCTCACTCACATCATTCCTCACCCCTCTTTTCTCCTCCTTCAACCCTCCTTCAACCACTCCATTACCTTCTTCTACCTTTTCCACCGCCACCTCGTCAACCTCTCCGCCACCAGTCCTCTCATACTCTTCTTCTTCCTCTTCTACATACTCTTCCTCTTCTTTCTCGTACTCCGCCGCCGCGCCTTGACCCTCCGATTCCCCATCCGATTCGATCGGCCGCACTACTTTCTCTCTCCGCTCTCCTTCCTCTTCTCCCTCCTCCTTCTCTTCATCATCACTCGCCTCTCTCCTCCTCATCTTCAATGAAAGCTTCGCCTCCTCTGGATCACTCTCGTACTCTACCTCCTCCTCCGTCATCTCCTTTCCACTCATAAATCACACAAATTATCAACGAAAAATTAAATCCTCAAAACCCTAATTTGACAAATTCCAAAATCTGTACGATAACAGATTTCGGGATAATTGATCTGAGATTTTCACAGGGTTAAGATATAGGATCAGAAATCCCTAGATTATTATTTTTATATTAGAGACTTTATGGGGGATTTTTCTGAGGGCATCTCCGGTGGAGGAAGACTACGGTACATCAAATTTTATTTTAAATTATTTAATTACAAATTATATTATTACAAAAATCA